TCAGCATATGGGCAGGTGTTGTACAGGTCAAAACCAGCTAACAAACTGTGTGTCTTTTTTCTGCCCATGTTTTCTATAAAATGTCAGAAACATCTGGAAATTTGGTGTTGCTTCTCCTTTCACAGCTATTCCTTGTATATGAGGTTATTTTGATTATCTAGAAGCAACTAGAATGCTTCCCACTCATTTGCTCTTTGTTGGGACAGAAACAAGTGTAGCCTTACGGTTTTCTTGGGGCCAGAGTTCACCTGAATTAATTGTCATAGGAAAGGGGTAGGTTGCATCTGTATAAAAAACAATCAGGTGCTTTAGCTGTACCTATTGCTTTAGTTGCACCTTTTATCCAAGGAGTGAAAGGCTCCAGGAGTTTCTAGTGGCCATCCTCCGTGCCCATCTGATGCAACAGGAGTTCAGGAAAGGTGGGTGAGTTTCAAAACAGAGATCTTGAGGGCACAGGAACACACTGTCCCTCTGTGCCGAAAGATGATTCAACGAGTTAAATGCCCAGCTTGGATGAGCAAGGAGGTTTTGAAGGAACTTAAGAATAAAAGGAGGATGTATCATCTTTGGAAGGAGGGTCAGGTCTCTCAGGAAGTATATAAGGGGGCTGCTGGAGCATGTAGGAAAAAAATTAGGGAGGCCAAAGCTTGGTTTGAACTTAAAATGGTGACTTCTATAAAGGATAATAAAAAATGTTTCTACAAATATATTAATGGTAAAAGGAAAGGTAAGACCAACCTTTGTTCTTTACTGGATGAGGGAGGGAACTTAGTAACTGCAGATGAGGAGAAGGCGGAAGTACTTTTCGCCTTCTTTGTCTCAGTCTTTAGTGGGAAGATGGCTTGTCCCCAGGACAACTGTCCTCTTGGGTTGGTTCAGGGTGCCAGGGAACAGAAAGGTCCCCCCATTATCCAAGAGGATGCAGTCAGAGAACTGCTGAGCCACTTGGATGTTCATAAATCTATGGGACCAGATGGGATTCATCCCAGGGTGATGAGAGAGCTGGCAGGTGAGCTTGCAAAGCCACTCTCCATCATTTACCAACAGTATTGGCTCACTGGCAAGGTTCCAGATGACTGGAAGCTGCCCAATGTGAGGCCCATTTACAACAAGGGTGGGAAGGAGGATCCTAGTAATTATAGACCGGTCAGCCTGACTTCAGTATCTGGCAAAATAATGGAGCAATTTATACTGACTATCATCATGCAGCACCTACAGGATGGCCAGGGTATCAGACCCAGCCAGCAGGGGTTTAGGAGGGCTAGGTCGTGTTTGACCAACCTGGTCTCCTTTTATGACCAGGTGACCGCCCTGGTGGATGAGGGAAAGGCTGTGGATGTTGTCTATTTGGACTTCAGCAAGGCCTTTGGCACTGTCTCCCACAGCACACTCCTGGAAAAGCTGCAGCCCACGGCTGGGATGGGAGCACTCTGTGCTGGCTTCAGAACTGGCTGGATGGCCAGGCCAGAGAGTGGTGGTGAGTGGTGCTGCATCCAGCTGGATGTGGTCTGTGCTGGGGCCAGTTCTGTTCAATATTTTTATTGATGACATGGATGAGGGGATTGAGTCTTTCTTTAGTAAATTTGCAGATGACACAAAACTGGGAGCATGTGTCGATCTGTTGGAAGGTAGGATGGCTCTGCAGAGAGACCTGGACGGTTGGATAGATGGGCAGAGACTAACAACATGAAGTTTAGTAAGTCCATGTGCCAAGTCCTGCATTTTGGCCACAATAACCCCCTGCAGCGTTATAGGCTGGGGACGGTGTGGCTGGACAGTGCTCAGGCAGAAAGGGAGCTGGGGGTACTGGTCGACAGCCAACAGAACACGAGCCAGCAGTGTGCCCTGGTGGTGAAGAAGGCCAATGGCTCCTGGCTTGTATCAGGAATAGTGTGGCCAGCAGGAGCAGGGATGTCATCCTTGCCCTGTACTCAGCACTGGTGAGGCCAAACCTTGAGTGCTGTGCCCAGTTCTGGCCCCTCAGTTTGGGAAGGATGTTGAGACGCTTGAGTGCATCCAGAGGAGGGCAACAAGGCTGGTGAGGGGCTTGGAACACAAACACTGTGAGGAATGGCTGAGGGAGCTGGGGTTGTTTAGCCTGGAGAAAAGGAGACTCAGAGGTGACCTTATCACTCTCTACAACTTCCTGAAGGGTAGTTGTAGTCAGGTGGGGGTCAGAGTCTTTCTCCAGGCAGCAACTGACAGAACGAGAGGTGACAGTCTCAAGCTGCATCAAGGGAAATTTAGGCTGGATATTAGGAAAAGGTTTTTACAGAAAGGGTGATAAAGTACTGGAATGGTCTGCCCGGGGAGGTTGTGAAGTCACCATCCCTGGATGTGTTTAAAAAAAGACTGCATGTGGCACTGGGTGCCATGGTTTAGTTGAGGTGTCAGGGAATGGGTTGGACTCAATGATCATGAAGGTCTCTTCCAACCCAGTGATTCTGTGATTCTGTAATACTACAACTGTGTTTCTCAGAGCTGATTAAAATCTTGGTATTGCTGTTAGGATTCTCCTGATGACTGCATAGCAGCACACTTCAAATGTCTGTCCTTTTAAGCAAGAAACTTAAACAGTGAATCTTCTCATCAGAGAGTTTCTGTGAAGTCCCCTCTTGCCCTGCTGTTCCCCAGTCATACACAGTAGGGAAGGTTCCTGGTTTATAATAATCTTTTATAACACTCATGTTCTGTTCTCTGAAGTGTGATAGAAGAATTGAACTTTGTTACTCATCAAAAATGTAGCAATTCCATAAGGTAAACCAGATGTTAAACCAGATGTTTAACACAAGTGCTCTACAGGTGAATGCACAAAAAAGAAGTTCATTGTCTCAAAAAACATGTATTGCAAGGGTTTAATCCAAGACACTTGTACTCTCAAACAGTTGAAATAAGCCTCTGGATATGAGCAAGCTGCAGTTCAAAGAAATTTTTTATGCCATTTTTGTAGAGGTATGTTTGATTCTTACTAGAAATCTTGAATCCATGGCAAGGCATTTTAGGCCAAACTACTTTAGCAGCAAATAAAACATCCATGTCCATACATCATGTATGCATGTATAAATAGGTGCCCCTGCTTGTACAATTTGCTTTGCTTTACAATTAGGCCATACACTGTTTCTTCAAGTCTGTTATGCCACTGCATGTGTATGTACATGGGATGTGTATTTACATTTCATCAAAGCTTTTCAGGCATGTCTTTGTCCAAAACATGCTGACAAAATATAGCAAATAATAGCTATCTCAGCAGTAATTATGTATGCCTGGTGCTCTTCCCCTCCACCCTGGTTATCTTGATAAAGGAGCTGTACAGGAGCCTAGCCTTCATTTCACCCCCAGTGGCAAAAACTACATGCACAACAAGCAGCAGGCTGAAGATTATGTTCATGCCTTGACCTCGAGACTTCCTGAACCAGTTTGGATTGGCTCTCCCTTTGAAACTACAGGCTTTCACAGGAAGTTCATAAATGGGCCCAAGTCACAGCAACTGACGTAGTCCTAATATTTTTAACTTGGTTCTTCAAGAACTACCTACAACGAGTGCTGTTTCATGGATACAAAGAGCTGTGCGGCTTTTTCAAAAGCGAATGTCAGTGTGCTGGGCAAAATGCAAACCACTGAAAGCAAGTGAGTAATGTAGCTTTTGCTGTTCTGCAGATGTGGTGGTGTGTGCTGTGAAGCTGCATTGCACTCCACCATGTCCATGTGTCAGCATCACTGGAGCTCCCAATACTGCTGGCAGCCACTGTCTCCAAAGAGCTAAACCACAGGCCTGTGTTCCACACCCCTCAGCTTCAGGTGCATTTGGATCCACTGCTTAAGCCTTAATGCAATCTCTTTTCCCATGTCTCACTCCCTACCCCACATCATTTGTGTCTTAGAAATGGTTTGCAAGACTCATTCAGAGGTGTTACAGAAAAGTTATTTTACTCCCTAAATCCAAAGTACCCTAAGAGGGGTTTGTGAAATGCCCATGGTTTGTTCTATCCACAATGACAAGAGAGACGAGCAGAAAAAATAAATGTTGCAAAGAAACACGAATATTAAATCTTTGAGAGAATGATGGATGCAAATGGGCATGAAAACCTTATTTCTAAGATTTTTATCTTTTTCATACAGCTCTAACAAAATGCAACTGCATTAAAGAGATTCCTTTTCGTTCATTTGCTTTGCACCTTGTTATCTCATTACCTGTTAAACACAAACTTAAGAGAAAACACTCTTCTTATTTACATCTCTGCATTCCACTGATTGTATGCTATAATTTGACAGCAAGTTCAAATTCAAAGGTGTTGAATGCATTGCTCCTACATTCCTTTGAAAAAGACATTTTCATGTTTGCAAATAACCTGATGGAATGGGGTGAAAGGTTGTTATTAATGTTAGCAGTGCATATGATTTCAGAAGTATTTAATTCATTTATAATTTAGCAGCTCTGTCCAAGGGCCATGACAGTCCTTAAAGCAACTTCTAAAATTCAATGTCCAGTCTGATTAGTTCATGATTTGGGATTTTCTGGTCTATATTTAACTGATGGACTTTGAAACATAAATTCTGTATATATTATTGTTTTGAGAAATTTACAGGAATTAAAAAAAGAAGCAGGGCCCCTTCCAGCATATAGGCTCTCTTTTCATTCAGTCAAGAAGTGAGAAACCTTTCTTACTGAAGAACAAAGCAAACTCTCCCCATTTCCCCTGCCAGCCACAAAAATTAGATCCACTGGATAAACCAAATATTTTTGAATATTCTTTGGTTTCTGCCTGCAAATCATAGGATCCAGATCCACTATTCATTTACAAAGTAAGGAATTAATTTGATGTCTTTTATTTTTTCACTGATAAAGGCTTATCTTGTATTCTTCCAATCTTTCTTGTAAGCATTTCCTGAGAGGGGTGTAAGTCAGCCAACATGGAGAATCTGCCTAGGATACCTAGGAGGGAAGGCCTTGCTTGTTTGGCCAAGGCTAGCAGGTCTTACATAATAATTTATTACAGTACCTTTCTGTTTCCTGGTCTGTGGTTTGCTGCTTGTTTTCAAAGCCAGTGAAGCTGCTCATATCCACATAGCCATCATTCTCATTAGCAGCAGATAATGCCCTGCTGGGATCTTCAAAAAACTCGGTAAAGGTTCCTGCTCTGGTGGATCTCCGAGGAGGAATTTGTATGTTTTCATAGTCAGAACTCATAGCAGGAATGTTCTCATAGTCAGATGTGTCAGCATTGGGAAAAGAAATAGACCTAGGTTTCGTTAATGGCAGTGGCATGAAAGGAGGTCTGGACCGGTCCTCAAAGGATTCCACCCTTGACACACTCCTGCTGAAGGACTTGAGCGTTCCTTTTCTTTTACCATCCTTATAGAAAAGAACAGCTGAGGGAGACTCAGATGCACGGAGCTTACCCACATGCGATTTTAGTTGAGGTGAGCTACTTAGGCTCCTTCCTTCCAGCTCCATCAGCCTAGGAGGCCCATGATAGCTGGACTCTGATGAGGACCTTGAAGAAGAAACATTAACATCTACGTGAACTTTATTCTCACTTTTCTTCTTGAACTTTAGAGTAAGAAACCTCTTAAAAGAAGACTTCTTTTTCTTGGAATACTTAGTAGGTGAGTCATTCTCTATCAAAAGGGAAGGTGAACTTTTAGTGATTGGCTTTTTGGTGATGTAGGCAAGTTCAAACGGAGGTGGTATATCAACAACTGAGGATGGAGTAGATATGCCACATGATGAGAGATGATTTTGCTGGGAAAAACTACCTGAGGAACCATTGACACAAGGCAAGGACAAGTTATCTTCTGTCCTTTTTATTCTAACACCATCCAGTACACAGACATCACTTTCTCTGTAAACAGAGATAGGTATCTCTCTCCCTTCAACAGAATAAGATCGAGGATATAAAAGAAAGCGTCTTGACTTGGTTGGTAAAGCCCTGTTGGCTTCCACTGGTTTTCCCTCCAATGAAAAGGAATTATTGCTCAAGTCTTCTGTCCCACAGCCATTTCGGGAAGAGGGCAAATCAGTTTCAGGTCCAGTTTCTTCTGGAACAGTTTCTGGGACATAGCCTGGCATTCTCCCAGAGAGAGATCGTGTTCTAGTGACAATACTTTTACGATCAATGGGCAGCAAGTTGTTTTCACCATCCATGCCTAATTCACCCTTTTTACTGTGATCAGCTCCTAAATCAGTCTGCACATCATGGACAATTTCATTTTCTTCAGGAAGCACATAAGGATCATCTAGGGAATCACTGCTAGTTTCTCTTTCCTCCAATTCATCAGTCACAATGACCACTTCAGGGACTGCTAGATTTTCACGCAAAACACATTTGGTCCCACATTCTACATTAATTTTGCCATGCTTACAGATTTCTAAGTTGTCCTCAAGTGGGACCTCTTCAGGCGAACTTGGGACACTTTTGCTGAGGCTGTTTGCTTCCACCTCATTGTCTTTGAGTTGCAACTCATCTGACTTAGAGGCTTCCACAGTATTTTCATTATCCTCTTCAACAGTTACAGCTTCTACCTCTGGCTCCATCCCTGGCCTACAAGGTAGACTATCAGAAATCATGCCATCTTCATGCAGAGAGGCTTCTTCTGTTTGAAGATTCTCAACTGAATGTTCCACAGGTATTTCCTCGTGACATTCATTCTCACAAGGTGCAATCTGACACCCGTCATCCATATTCTCTGCATTCACAGTTTCTTCTTCCTCTTTCCCAGAGACTTTGCTTGCTTCACAGGCTACCTCTGATGTCTTCTCACTTTTCCTCTCAGCGATCTGGCAGCCATCACTGGCATTTCCTGTATTTGTATTATTGTGCTCATTTGGGTCTACTTCCTCCTCTTCAGCTGCTGCTTGATGGGTGAACTCTGCTAAACTGTTTTTGGCACCGCGTTCATCTCCACACAGTTCTAAGTCAGGACCTGTTTCTTCACTGGCATCCTCAGGCAGCATGTCAGGGTTTGCACAGTCATCATTTTCTAAATCCCATTCCATGTTCAAATCAAGCTCTGCATGCACACTGCAGTCATCATTTTGTGCTAGACACCCATCTGCCATTTCTAAAATCTCAGGCAGTTCCTCCTCTTGCCCTACCTTCTCACAAGCTGGGATTGATTCATCTGCAGGCAGTGGCATTGCAATGATATCTCTACAAGTATCATCCATTACTTTCTCATCTGTATTCAAAATGTTATCACTGTCAGTCTCACAATCACTACTGTTCTTGACCAGTTCCAGGTTGTAAGAAGTTTCTTGCCTGTTTTTGGTTTCAGTACAATCACCTACAAAATCCTCAACTTCATCTACATTCCTGGTAGCATTGTTATCCCTGTCTGGGGCATCTAATGACTCCTCACAAAGTGCTTTGGACTGGTCACAGTCTCTGGATGACTCCTCAGAGTCTGGTTCCCTTGGTTCAGCAGCATCTGAAGAGTTACAGAGCTCATCTCCGAAGACTTCTTGATTACTGGTATTCTCATCACTAGCTATGTTATCCTCTTCCTTCTCTACCTTTTCTGGAGTTTCTGAGACTTCATTTTCCACAGAGGAATCTAAGTTTTGATCATGCTCATGCTCCAAATCATTAGAGTCTTTGCTGGGCAGCTGAGCTTCAGGAAATACAATGTATTCATTATCTGCCTCAGATCCTAGGCAATCAGCATTGCATTGGTTTCCTTCACACAGTTCTCCACCAAGACACAGCAGTTTCCCATTTGCACATTTATTTAAATTATTGTTGTTAGAAACACTGGATTTGCCCTCAGTGTCAGCTGAGAATTTTGGCTTGGGAGCAATAGGTGGTTTGGGACCCCTAGACAGAGAGTTCGGGTGATGAAGAATATCAGCTCTTGGCAGTGAAGGAGAAAATTTGGAGACAGGTGCTGGAGAAAGATGACCAATAATCTTTGGTTTTGGTGCTAATGGTGGTTTTGAGATTTCTGGAGAAAAGAGACAAAAGTCATGTCAGTCATCTTGGTTTCTTATTAAAGTCAGCAGAATATATCCTGCAATACACTTTATCGGTGACTTGTAATGCAGAAGCAGTCTAGCCAACAAAAAGCTGAAAAGCGAACTGAAGGAGCAAAGCATATGGATTGTCCCTCCATGTGACACTGTAGCTAGTCCAGTGAGCATAGTTTAAGGTCACATCTGAACTGAACTAGATGCAGCCCTAACACTTGGGGAAAGATGTACAGCTGCAGAGCCAAGGATGTATTACACTTCAACCCAAAACATGAAGACAGTTACTGGTTTAACTCAAGTTATGTTTTCAGTGTACAGCTTCTTCAGCCCTTTAGTCAGAAGATCCTCCATTCCTCCTGTAAATGCCAAGATCCCTTGCAGGTACAAACTTCTCTAAACATCAAAATGTACTTTAAATGTATTTATGTAAATACGTTTATTGTTATGTATTTCACATAAGGCCAGCCTTGTACTTCTACTGGTAGTGCTGACACATATGTAGGGGAAATCAAGCAGAATGGCAAGAAACTAGATTGAAGCTATGTGAATTAAATTGTATCTATATCACCATTTTACTCAGTAGCTTGCCTGCCACAGTCATTTCCAGCTGTCTTGATCCTGAAATTATTATTCTTCAAAAACTAAATGAAATGCTGAAAGACTGCATAAGTAGGCAGCAATAGGGATCCTCCCTGGTGCAATTTTTTATGAGATAAAATATGTAGTGTGAAGAAGCCAGCATAACAAATGGTTCCAGATGGTAAGAAGTAGGGAGAAGTGGTTTCCTCCTATTGCTGTTTCCTAGCCATCAATAGATAATTACATAGTTAAGCAATCAGAAATCTCTAATTATAATTTTAATTTACACATTCTGGTGGAAAAAGGAGAGCTCTTCATTGTAAAGAAAAGCATAGGACAAACTATTTCATCATTACAAAGATAGAAACACTTCTTCATGGATAATCTTCATGCACAACACACAAGAAATAACAGAACAGCATCTCAAAAGACAAAAACTGGGACTCTGTTCCTATGTGAAATCCTATCCAAAATCATGGTACGAGCTTCAGAAAGTGTAGCTACTGTACTGTTGTATTTAGAGCATTTTGAAATGCAGACTTTAGATACGTAGAAGTGCAGACAGTTAGAACTGAGCTGTGCACTGTACTGAGAATAAAGGAATATTGAATGCAAACTGCTTGAAAAAGATTCTCTGATTGTCCTGATATTTGGTGGCATAGTACTTTTCTTATCGTTATCCTAGTATAATTGGAGTAATTTGTACCGAAATAATACTGGTCTATTTGTTTGGTTGTACTCTGGGAGATATAAAAGGCTGTTTCTTCTGATCTTCTTAACCTTCCTGAAATTTCTGATACACAGAAAGAAGCTGACAATTTGGCATTCTGATGTAATCAGAAAACAGTCTTTCTAGAGTTATGAGACACCAGAGAGATTTTCTCTAAGTTAAAAACTGAATCAGTGATCTCAGCCCAGAAGGAATGAAAAATCTGTTATAAGCAGGTGCCTTATTGCATATACCGCTTAAGAATTATTCTGTATATGGAGTTTTATCCTATCCAGCTGCATGTGGGAGACTTAACTCATGAAAAAGGAGGGAGAGAGAACTGTGTATTCACCAGTCTGCAGTTACTGTGGTGTTTCACAGTATCCACTGCTGGTTTAGGCTGCTGGGTGTCTGTCTAATCACAAAATGGGTAACTCGTTTTTCCCCGCCCATTAAATCAGAAGCTTTACATGCTGAGTACTCCACCTTTGCTGAAGTTACATTGCTTCTTTTGCAGGCAGCAGTTGAAGGCTGTAGAGTACTGGAGACTCTTGCCAGTTAAAAGCAGGGAGGCAACAGAAGTGGGTTTAGTGTCTTGTAAGCCTGGTGTCGCAGCGAGAGCTACCTTTTACATTTTTAAATTAGTTACTGAAATCATGGAACATCCTAAACTAACTTTCTGGTAGTAAAATGAATGAATTTGTTATTAGCTAAAACTGAGTCTTTACACCTTTACCACCATAATAAAACATTTTCAGGACTAAGTCCAAGAAAAATCCCATCATTTTGGAGGTACTACACCACTTTCTGCAGTGCCTAGCCTTTCCTAGGAACGCATATCCAAGAGTAGGATACAAATAATAGTCTGTTCCTGGAATGTGACAAAACTTGAAGTTTCTCCATTCTCATCCTTGTTCTTTTCAGAGAGTGTCTGTACCAAAACAGTGAATAATGAGGAAAAGACTGGACTTTAGAGAGTGCTGGGACCTTCCAAGCTTTGTTGTATAAACAAATTTGAAATAAAATAATGACAGGAACTCATTTCCTTTAAGTAAAATAACCATGGAGACATCCACTTAAAAGAAATGCAACTTAAACAATTACCCACTTTCCCTCCAGTGATAATTTTCTACAGCAAAAGGATCAAATAATCTTGAGTTTTTCCTTCTGGTACCTTCAGTAACACTGCTGTTGGAAGAGAACTTATGGTAATGGAGCCTGTTCATAGTATGATAATAGGCATTGTCACGTCCTTCTCCTACCCACTTGTGCCAGCTACTGGTCACTACTGTTGCCTTACATAGTTTTTTTTCCCTAACTGCTTTGTCCATTGATCTTGCCTTTCATGAGACCCCTTAAACAATTTTCCTTTTTCTTTGGTGGCAGTGTGAGGAAGAGGTAACAGGAGGAATGCAAGCGTTTGTTTAAAAAATAACCCAAACAAAAGAAACCACAGCTTCTTGCCTTTTATCACAATTTCATTCTGCTTCAATTTCTGCTTCCTTTGCTGTCTGAGCCACTTGAAAGGTTCTGGCTGTAACTTCTAAATGCAACATTGCACCATAAGTAATGTGTATGCTCCCAAATAATTGTGCATGTTTATTTTAGGATGTATTTTATGTTGGAGGGGACACACCCACCTTGTGCTTAAAAGGAAACTCTTGGGGAATACAAATTCCTTTAGCCTGCTCCTCCCCTTATTGTTCAGTGCTTCCTTGTACTGACAAGGACCGCTTCCTCTCCTTGCCCACCTTCCTTGAGGCAACCCTGCATAACTCAATTCCTGCCATGATCCATATGAAATTAAATTACATTAGTCTCCTCCTGTCCAAGTTTCTACGCAGTCAACAGTAGTCTAGCAGGTCACCTGATATAGCTCTCCTGGAATAGCAAGCAACCCATGCAGCCTTCACTGTTCAAGTGTTTCTTTGAAACAATATATATTTTGTAGTATGGTATTACCAGAAATACCACAACTACCCACTTTCAAATAATTTCAAATTTAGGATTTCAAATTTAGCCTAGAATTTAATTAGGGTTTATAAGGGACCATACCTACAAAACACCACCACTGAGAACTAACTAAACACTGACGTTTAACATTTGCCTGGATATACTGTAGATGTGTCCCAGGGCCATGGTCTCTGCTAGTGGCTCAAGAAAGTACATAGCTCTAGAGTGCATATACTGGTTCCAGCCTTGACTGGTGCTGCAATCCGGTTCAGGCTTCTTTTAAGATGCTGAAAGTAGCTTTTTCTGACCAACGAACTTTTGTGGACCTGTGCTTCCTCCATGCCTTTGGCACTAATTCAACTCAGACATTTGTTAAAATGGCAAAGGCACTGAGGACAGAGGGCAGAAATGCATTGTTCAGGGATTTGCAGAGCTTTTGGGTGGAAGTGACAGGCAGGTGAAGGGACAATATTGCAACAGTGGGATGGGACTGCGCCAAACTGGGAATCCTGGTAGAAACCAAGTCTTGTCTGCCACTGCTTCTGCCCAGGAAGAAGGGATTGAAATCCACAGATAGAAAGCATCTGAGAAATAGGAGGTAGAGGGAGACTATCCAGACAAGGACACAAGAAAGTCCTGTTCAGCTCTGATCAGGAGCTTTATAATTTCACATAGCTATATCAGAATGAAGTTAAAACTGATTTTCTAGAAGATTTTGGTCTAAAGTCAGCAAAAGGCAGACTACACATCTTAGTATCACCATATTTTAATCCTGTAATTAATTGTTGATTTAAAAAATGAAGCCCTTATTTCCATTTAGCGCTGCCTTGCTTCTATTTCCAGCACTTAATATTGCTTCTTCCATTGAAACATTCCATTTATTATTGTTTCTTCCGTATTATTAATTGTGCAATATTTGACACAGAAATAGTTCTCTTTGTTTTACAGCATATAGGTGCATCATTTATTTCACACTACTGGAGAAAAGTCTGAGATTACAAAAATAACATGAGAAGTGGAAACAGTTGCATGGGAGTCACTTGAAATGGAAAATGTATTCAGACTAGGATTTTCAAATGATATAGGACTGCAAGTCTTGCTATTAAGTGGGGTTCCAGTCCAGATTCAGGTACTAGTTCGACTTGAACAGGTATTAGATATTTACATGGCTTTTGCGAATTTGGACTTCAGGAACTTGAAATACGAGGTCAAAATCAGCAGGCCCCTAAATGCCTCCGATATTTATGAAAATGGTATTTCATGTTCTTTGTAAGCCTGATACTTTTGAGAAGTATCTATCCTATCAGTATGTGTTCTTGTGATCAAAGGTACTCTGCAAATAGCAAGAGGGCTCCATAGTGTGAAGATAGACCTATAGTCACTAGTAACTGTCCCAACAATTCCCATAAGAATTTTATCATCTTAAAAGTCATAGCTGCAATATTAACAGCTGGGCTGTCAAAGCCCACCCCCACTCTGCTGCTATGTACAGTTACAGGAACACATCTTCTATGATCAGATCAGTGCATTCTGATGCTGGGATATCAGATCAATACCTTACAAATTTCTGCTACTATACAACTTTACTGCAGTCATCTATAAATATAATACAACAGCACAATATTCCACAATGAAACAGTGTTGGAGAAGGGGAAAAAATCAAAAGGCAATAAAATCAGGAAAGGGTATGTTTCTACACCAAAATCATCTTGATCCTAAAAATTCTCCCATGTTTTCACTGTCTCTAGCAGACTGTACATATTAGTCTTCCTGGTGGGCTTAGCAACGAAAAACCACATGTACATGACAAATAATCTTGGTTCTAAACTACTACCATACATTTTTTTAAAATGTAATTGTAAGCATTTGAGATGTTACCAGTTTGGCTCTGTTTTCACAACAGTAACTTAACACTGAGGCAGACAACCGGTTGTTTCATATATTGCTTCCTGGGAGCCAAAGAAGATGGTTAAAATTCTCTGACAGGCCCATACAGCATTTTTTCCTATATCACTTTCAGTAGCAGCTGAAAGAATATATAGTCTGCTTATATCTCTGAACAATCTGGAGTCTAATGTCTGTACACTTTTCATTTTACATCATTTCACCACCTGGCAAAAAAATTACTAGAGGCTAGAAGGTCCTATATATGAAGCTGGTGTGGTCTCTTGTCTCTTACCACAGATTTCCTGTGGCCTTGGGTGGATTGCTTCATCTTTTCATATCAGTTTTGCATCTCTGAGGATAATCCATATCTCCCTTCCTGTTCTCAGTCTGTCATTACTTTAAGTTCTGTGGGATCAAGGCTGCCATATATGCCTGCACATATGACTCTACTTACTGGTGCTATGCATTACTTACTATAATACAATGATAGCCTAATGCTGGTGCCCAAGTCATACCAGTTAATAAATATCCCTCTCCTTCAGATTCAGTAGGAAGTTCTGCTTTGCACTGATGGGGGAGACATTCCTTGCATTGTGCAAACATACAAAACAAAGGCTGAGAAGGGATATGAGCACTCTATAAATACAACCTGGAGGTAAACACCAGAAGAGGAAAAGAACTATTTTTAAGCAAAAGGACAATGTAATCACAAGAATAAATGGTGTTGAATCTGGTCTGGAAACCAGGAGTAGCAGGAGAGCTACCTGAAAAGTTTTTGTTTAGGATATAATTGGAGGAATTATTAAAAGCAGCAATAACAACGGGTGCCGCTTTTGATAATGAAGGCAGTCCCATTCGGTCCTACATTCCTCAAAACTAATAAAGTTTAGCGGATTAATCTAATATTCCTTACCCTGCACTTCCACTGACAACAGGAGTAGATTAGAGCTGGTCTGTTTTAAATAATGGAGAGATGAAGAAAGACAGGTAGGAGCATCATTGCTGAAGTTATTTTTGGATGGCTTCATTTTCAAATGAGTTTGTCTCCTGGGAGGGACAGAATCCAGACCAGGATCAGAAAACAGAATGGAACTATCACCAGATTTTAGGACTACTAGAGGAAGAAGAACGTTTTTGCTTTAAATTCAGAGGAGTGGTATAACACATTGATACAACAGTGGAGTGCTGGATTTGACAGAAAATAACTTTTCCAATCCTATGTTACTATGCTTTGGCAAACAATGAATCATAGTTTCCCAGCACAGAACAGTTGTAGGGCAAGGTATCTAGCGGTAAAATCTCTGGGCTTCAGGATGTACCCATACATTGCAAGTGAGGTGCCCAGCAATATTTACCTGGAGCAAGCAAACACAACGGAAATTTTTAGGGCTAACAAAGAAGATCTGTTGCTCATCATCTTTAATTCTAGAAAGAGCTTTAAATTTTTCTAAATAATTCCAGTTAGCAATAATTGTTTCCTATATTGTTATGCTTTTCACACACATGCCTCATCCCTGAAAATTGAAGTCTTGGTGAACAGTTTAAAGTTTGCCCCAATTTTCCAGTGGCTTCTTTTTTCTGTTTTAACTGTTGAATGCCTGTTCCCTTATTCTGTCTCTTTCACCTTCCCAGTTTCCATCAAGGAAAAATCTGAAAAGTTAACAGAGAGGAGGAGGAAGGGTTTGGGTTTCCCTTAGAGAGCAAATTCTGCAAAAAACATTACCTTCCCCCAAAAATATACTCTTGGAAAGAAACTCACAGCAGATATTCTAGGAACTTCGTGAACGGTTGAGTGTATCCGAGGGAGTAGTGGGCGCACAGCCGTGTCCCTTAGCCTCGCCGGTCTGCCAGCCTGGTTGTCCCCGGAGCACCTAACCTCGCCCGCCCTTGATCCTTCAATGGCTGGGCAAGCAACGGGGCACTCACAGCCTCGGGGAGCCACTGAGCACCTGCTGGATTGCGGGGAAAAGGAGGGCCGGCCCTGGACGGAGGGTGCCCAGGGGAGAGGTGCCAGCCCCAGCGGCACGGCCCAGAACCTGCCGGCCCCGAAGGAGGGATGCCGGGACGAAGGGGGACGCGAGCCCCGGAGGAGCTGTGCCTGGGCAGGGGGTCTGTCCTGGTGATAGGATGTGCCGGCCCGAGGGAAGGAGGGAGCCGAAGGAAGGAAGCCCGCCCGGCGTTTGCCAGCCCCGGGGAAAAGATGTCCAGAAGCAGAGACCCTTGCCGGCGGGCCCGCGCACTTACCGGCGTTGTTCATCTTCCACCCCAACTTCGCTCGCCGGCTGCTCCGGGCGCTCAGCGCATGGCTCCGGGGGCCCCGCCGCCCTCGCCCCTCGAGGCCGCGCCCGGCCCTACAGCCCCTGCGGGGGCACGGGAGCGCAGCGGGACGGCCGGACGCGGACGGCGGGCTGGGCGGGCGGCGGTGCCGGCCGGGGGCGGTCAGCGCCGCGCGCCTCCGCCCTGCCCCGCGCGCGGCCCGTCGGGGGGCGGTGGCGGCGCCGGGGCCCCGCACGGCCGGCGGCGCGCGGGGCCGGACCGGGCGGGGCAGGACCGACTGCGTGCAGGCAGCGCCCGCCGCGGGGCGAGTCCGGGGGTCCCCGTGGGGAGTGAAGGACATGGATGCGGCACGGATGCCCAAGCGCGCGAATATTTAAAGGCGCGGCGGGGTCCTTCGGCCTCCTTTTCGCGTGCCCCCCCCCCCCCCCCCCCCCCCCCCCCCCCCGCTTCGTGTCCCCACTCCTCTTCCACCGCCCTTGGTCCCCCTTTGCGCTCTACATGGTCCCTTTCAGCCCCTTCTCCATCCCCTCTCCCGCTTTCTCTACTCCCTCCGTATCGCCTGCATCTCCCCCCCTCTCCTTACATCTTTTTCCCTCTCCATCCTTTTCTTCCTGCCCAGTCGTCCTTTCTCTCCATAATTTCCCCCCTTCCATCCATCCCCCTCAATCTATTCATTCACACCCACCCACCCACTCCATTCCCCTGAGGAACACGACCGCCCCAGCCTAGGACCCTCCAGAGAACGAGGTTCGGGGAGGCCCCCGCCCCGCCCCAGGCGTTTTTCCCTAACCAGGAGCATCCCTGCAGGGCCGACAGCACCTGCTGCTGGAAGCGGGATCTGAGTGCAGAGGAGCCAGGCACGGTCCCTCGCATACAAACCACACTTGCTCAGAGCAGTTTCAGGCAGCTGCAGGATGCTGTCTGCAGCCCTCTCCCGTAAGTCAGCAACTGGCTCAACGAAGTTAACGCAGGCACCTAGTTTTCGGGCTGGTAGCAGCACTAACACCCAAACGAAATTGGATCGCCCTCTTCCTCTCAATGGAGGTATCATATCGCCTTGCTACGTTTCCCAGTGGGGCTGGTATTGCTCACGCAAGTAAGCAGAACTTGGCAGATTCCACCCCCCCGGGTAAGAAATCTCAGGAGGGCTGAAGCTGATCTCGAGATTCGCTTCCCTAGACTGGGACGGATCCTTCCTTCCCTGAGCAGGACGGTTGTTTGCAGCAAGCCCGGAGTTCTGCAAGCCAGCAGAGAGAGGAGAGAAGTGGGGAGAAGTACCACGTTGTACTTGCCCAGTGTCCAAGTAGGGATATGAAGCTGTCAGTTCTTAGTTTGACATTTTGAATCCCCCAGGAACCATGACAATTGCTAACACCATCCAGAGAAACCTAATTTTAAATGCTGTTGTGTTTTTGCAAAGGGCCTAATAACTAAGATCATCCTGCTGGCAGGTGCTCTATAGTACAGGCAAAGTTCTTTTCTTGACCTTTCTTTTTTTTGACTTTTATCTCATTGTGACTGATGGGGTGCAGGGTGCCTTGCACTGTAGCGCACAGACCTCTCAAGAGAGAAAGCAAGCAGAAAGGGGAAATGGGAGTGGGAAGCAGAAATGGGAATTCTTTGCATGGGCTTGAGTGTCTCCCACTGAGGCTGGTATCCAGGAATGCTGAGTTTTGATTCTCTAGGGGACCCTGGTTGTCTCACTATGACTCTAAGTATGCATTTGCAATGCTGTATGGTTTTGGAGATGGATAAATTCACAGTAGCAGCTCTTTTCTTACTACTCTGACTGATATAAAGGCCTATATAGTCCCTCACATCATAATGTGTCTGGTCTGTGCCCTGGTGCAGGGAACAAAATGGGTTTCCCTGGTCCACCTATGACCAGCTGTCATGCAAGCTTCTCCCATCTTCATGTATTGGTCCCTGATTTTATTCTTGCCACCTGCAGCCTTGATGTCTGTGTCAAGCAAAATAAATAAGATGTCAATACAAAGCACCATGTGAAATAGCTTCAAGAATACAGATTTAAGATCTTGCAAATGCTGGGGAAAAGTTTATGGGACACAATGGAAAAAGAATGCACAATTTTGAAAAATCAAGCAAGTAAGAGTGATTTGGGAAAAATTCCTTGAATATGTTTTCCAGGAGAATAACTTTTTGGCTAAACAGCTGCAAAAAAAATAAACAGTAGGGAAAGGGGCAGCAGGGAGGCAAGAAACAAGTTGTCACAGAAGAATTGAGAATGTTGGCTGCAGAATTTGGGGGAATTTCCAAATAAACTAAAAAACATAGTCTAGACTACAAAGTTTCCTCATACCTAAATACATGGTGGAAGAATGGTTAAATATGTTACCATGTAAACAAAGCCATTGTAAAAGAGATGTTGCAATTAGACTAGATGGTGTTGTAATTAATATAGTGCCCTTCACACAAAATCTTTTTTGGTCTGCTGTAGGACAAAGAACCATGATACTTCATAGGTTTTGAGCCAAACAATTGATTTGTGAAAAATTTCATTTTTCTGTGGAGGTAGCTGAACACTCCAGCGGAACCCTATACTTAACGACCACAAGAACTTCTCGAGAGTTAGGAACTCCTGTTCCTAACATCATGCCATTAGCTCAAAGCCTGGCTAAGGGGCAGACATTGCCTGAGGTTAATTTTGGGACCTAGCTCTGTACAGGCTGAGTGCTTCTCACAAGTTTCTGACTGCCTGTGCTCAAATCTGCTTCCCAATGTAAAGAGCATGGTGCCAGGGTACCTCTAAGAGTTATTGACTCCTTTCTTTTGTAATCTGATCTGATTGGTTTCAACTTTGAACTGATTTGTGGTGGTTAAAAATGTAACCAATGCACTGCTACAAGATATTGTACTCTTCACCAAGGAATGCGTTTTTGAGCAGTTCAGACGAATTTTGGGCTCCGAGAACAGCTGCAGGGCAATTAGGCTACAATTTGGATTCAACAGGGAAAACCCCCAAAAATCTGTGCAACTAAAGTATACCTAGTAAGCAAAAGCCTTATATTCTTTTTATTATTAGCCTAAAAGACAATCCAGAGTGCAATTTCCTGTACTGAAATGATGAAATGTTGTGAGAATTTTGTAGTTAAAGGCAAGTAAGACCCATAAAATAAGTGCTTGAAATTTGTCTGTTTACTCTGTAATCCTCTTGAGAAATAATGGGGAATGATCTGTATTACAAATGGAATAATAGGAAGGTGAATGCATGTGAACATGTTCAGGAGATGCTTAAGGGTCAAATCAAGTTTTAGCAGCCAGAAGACGAATCTCTGCTTTTGCAAGCATATCCTGCAATTAAGGTTTTAAAGGGTGGAGTCCACACCACATAACACATTCCTTGAAGTAAGCAGAGTTCAGAACAGAAAAATCATTTTCCCCAGGGAGAACCCATGACTTAATTGATGAGAGGTGAAATTGACACATCTAATTTCTTAAGTCATCTATAGCAATAAATTAAGCATATATTTTAAAAATAATTTTGACTAACTTTTAATACTGAGATGTCTTTTAACAAAGGATTACATAATATAATAGGGATTAACATAACCCAACTACCCATTTGACAAATTTTATGAATTTAAAACTCAGATGAATGTTCTAGGTTTATAGGTCCCCATCCAGCAGCTGTTTTAAGTAAATGTTTGAATTTAATCAAGTGCATATAATCTGTTTTAAGTAGGGTTACTCTGTATGCTTAAGTGCCCTGTTAGATCAAAGCTATCTAGCCTGCTGGAGTCTTATTTTTTTATCATTGTAACATAAGCTAGCACTCTTTTTGCCATTTTAATGGAGCTCTATAGAGTCCGTCTATCATACATACTAGCTAAGCATCCTAATTGTTATTTTTAGGCCTCTTTATGTTATTCCACAGAGGTGTTTGCCAAGATGACGTCTGCTTCTTTATAAGTAGTGTTTCAGGGCATTTTTCATGACCTTTCACCCTTCTGTCTCTTTTTCTTTATGGTTTATAGGTTTGGATTTTTGGGGTTTGGAGTTACTTTATCACTATTTCTGTGTCAGTGGCCTTACTAAAAGAAATTTTCTGGCATTAAACTAAAAATACTGGGGGTGAGGGAAGAGGGTGCATTTGACCTCAAAATGACATTGGGTTAAACTTAGTTCCTAGTAGGCAGAATTTCAGAAACCAACATTGCTTTATAAATCTTTATATGCATCTGTTCTTAGTTGCCTTAAAAATCACCTATTTTCACATTATTTTGATATTACCTGGTACATTCTAGCTGGTAGTATGCCACCCAAGAAACCACAAGACAGAGAGAAGTGGTTCAACAACACATCTCTCTTGGTGACCTGGGAAACCCAAGAGTGTAGATCTATAGCACAGGGTACATAGGGTAGCTAATCCCTTGTGTTTCTCTTTGTAAGTATGCCTGGGACATCTGAAAGGCTGAATGTGTTGGGAAAAATTGTTATATTGGCAGGGATTCATGCCGATCAGGCCTACTTTAACATTATTCTACAAAAGCATTTCAATTATTGCAGTAAAGTGGTGCTGCATGTTACAAAAAGTGAAATAATTTACTAAAGCAGGATGAAAAAAAGTGTAGCTCTTTTAATAACTACAAGCATTCCTTGGTATGTCAGATAAATTCAAATGTAAAATATGGGCAGCTGTGATGAACTGAGCATAGTAATAGGTAAATACAGTAAATACTGGTAGGTAAACACTTTTCAGTTATTTATCTTTTCTGTGATGTGGCACTAGAGCCAGATGTCATTGCTACCTGTGTCTGTGGAACTTTATATCTTTCAGTGACTTGGCATGTCATCTCTCAGACTTTCTTGGTTTCTTTTTCCTCTCTGCTCAAAAGGCTGACTGACACCAAGTCAGGCTCAGAGACAGAACAGTAGGGAGTGCTGTAGTGAGAGTCCTGACCAGTCAGTATTCCTCAGTGGCCTGGCGATCCACAAGAGATGTGCTGTATTAGAATTGGAGTTGCATTGGCAGGATGTGTCTTAAATTTGTAGTTCTGTAGTACTCCAAGTTTCTTCAGTGAGAAGTTAATATTCTCTTGAGAGTTCTTGATAGAGAAGGAAGTTGAAGGACTGTCGCTCAGATGAGATCTCAAAGATTATTGGTGAAAATTTCTTTGAAAGACAGAAATGAAAACAAATGTTGTCATGTCCATTGGAGACAGAGATGAAATCCTTCACCCTGCAGGAGCCCATATTGCCTGGCTAAAACATAAGTGTCTGAAAGCAAAGCTTGCTCATATCAAAATTTTACAGCATTAGCTGCTCATCTCAGCACAATTCAGCACAATACTTCCTGGCATATAATGGTAATTTTTCCTA